GCCGCGGCCGGGGCGGGGGTGCGGGCCCGCGGGGGCGGCGCTGGGCGCCTTCCTTCGTCAGTCCCTCCCCGGCGGCGCGAGGGGGGGCCGCGGCCGCCGCTCGGCGCCTTTAAGGGAGCGGGAGGGAGCGGTGAGGCGGTGGCGGCTGCGGTGGCGGGGCGCGGGGCGCGGCGGAGTCCGCTCGGGGCCAGGGCCGCGCCCGGAGCCTTGAAGAGCGCGTGCAGCGCAGCGGAGCCCGCCGCCCGGGATATGGCCAAGGCGGGCGGCGCAGGTGAGGGCGGGCGCCGAGAGGGCAGGGCCGGCGGCCGGGGGAGGGACCCGCGCCTCCCGGGGAGGGGCCGCGCACCCAGGTGAGGCCCCCGCGCAGGTGGGCGGAGGTTCTGGGAGGGCAGGAGGGGGCGGCGGTGGCGAGGGCGCTCGGCGCACCTCGCGTCCTTCCCGCCCGCCCCCCCCCCCCCCCCCCCCCCCCCCGCCCCCGTCACCTCGTGGGACACTGCGTCCCCCTCCCGGAGCCCCGCTGGAAGGGGCCAGTTCTGCAGCGCCACTGGGCAGGCTCGCTGTTGGAGGCTTTCCCCAGCCTCCGAGGCCCCAGGCAGACCCAGGCGTCCCGACCGGAGGGGATGTCCCGCGGCCGCCCATCCACCACACGCCCGCCCCGCAACGTAAGCAGGGACGCGCCCCCTTGTCCTGCCACTCTCTGTCCAGGACGCGACAGCCCCCTCCCCCCGCCCCCAGGTCTATCAGGAGACCCAGATTCTTTCTGGAACAAGAGGGGTGCTCCGAGACGCCGTCTGGTCCCCAACCCCCACCGGGCCTGTAACGCAGAGCCTCAGGCCCGAGGGGTGCAGGGGGTTTGACGGCGGGGCTTCTTCTGGGGTCCCATAGGCTTTGTCCTCCGCAGGCTCAGGCTGTGTAGCCCGTGGTTTGAGGGAGTGGATATTAGTCATTCGTTCATTCATCCAGCCAGACGTTCATTCACCAACATCTGCTCTGTGCCAGGCCCTGAGCTGGGCGCTAGGATCAGGAGAGGACCAGACACTATCCCTCTTTGCACACTCTGGGCCCCACGGTGCCTTGGGAGGCTAGGGTTGGGGAAATCCTGTGCCCAGAGAGCCGGCCTTACGTGGGCGGCAGCAAGCCTGGTGTCAGCAGTGCTGACTTGTGAGGTTGGCTGTGAGAAGCTACCATGAACCTACACCCAACCTGTGATATTGGCAGGTACCATGCTATCCCCTGGGACCAGGGATCGGCCTGGTGTGAACCCCACTTCTCCACCCTTAAGCGAACATAGTGATGGAATGAGTGTGAATGCACCTGTGTGCACACTAGGTGTGAACACCCCTGGGCTGTATGTAAATTCTCCCAGCCCTGCTTGTTGCCCAGGACCTGGGCCAGGTACCAGTGTCCCTGCTCCTGCACTGGGCTTGTGAGTTAGGTCCCTGAGATATGCTCCTCTTTGTCCCCAGGAATCCTGTTGAGTGGAGCTGCTTGTGTGAGATGCAGGTAGTACAGAACACATTCAAGCACCTCGTTTCTCACTTCCCTCCCTCTCCTTTCCTAGGAAAGGCTGGAAAAGGCTCTCTACCTCCCTCTGTCTTCCTCACTCCACTCCTCAAAAGGGCACAGGGCAGAGTATATGTCCTGTCCACTGTCCCACGCTGTGTGTGCTTGTGTGTGCACATGCCTGGACACCATGAACACTGGTTGTTTGTTCAACACCCTCATAAAAAAGCAGTTAGCAGTTGTTGCTTGAACTATGCACCAGGCACTGTGCTGAGCCCTTTACTGCCTGCTGACCCTGGGAGGTGGGAAATGTCACTCTCCTGCTCCTTTTAAAACATCTAGAAATAGACACCCAAGGAAATAACTCCCTTAGGCCAGTGGGGCTGGCCAAAGCTTGGACTCAAAGCCAAGTCTGTTGATTTCTAAATCAATACCCTGATATGTCATCCCCTCACTGAATGGGAGGGCCAATCTCAGGCCCTCTTCCTTGGCTTTGAGTCCCTTGGTTGTTCCGTGGGCTGAGTCTGTGGGAACTTGTACCAGTGACAGGTGAGGACTGTCCTGCTCCGGGCACCAGCACCTCATGCTGATCTAACACTCTGTTTCCTGATGCAATTTCATGCTTGGGCCTTTCCCTCAGGGTAGTGCAGCTTTCCCTCCTCTGTGATCCACTTGCCCAGCTCCTTTCTCCTTTACTCAGCTGCTGCCCCAAGGAGACTTTTGAGATGATCAGCAACATTTGATTACTCTTCCCTTTCTCAGCTCTTCCAGGCTTCTTTGCATTTTGTAAATGTTCCTTCTCTAGGCTCCTAGACCTAGTGAATTGCAAATCCACAGTAGTGTGTGGATAGGAATCACATGCCCCCGAAAACTGCATCCATGAAGAACAGTCAGATGGATATACTTTAGAACACAGGCAGTCCTGGAGGTCAAGAGCCCAAGTCCCTCTCTTTACAGCTGGTGAAACTGAGGCCCAAGGAAGGGATGTACCACAGAGAGGTGTGACTGTTCAGTACCCTCTGCTTCCATGGGCAGAAAGGCAGAAGGACCTGGCCTTCACTCCGAAGGATGACACTAGATTAAAGGGAAGCTGCTTGAACCTGGGCTATGGGTGAAGGGTCTGCTTCCTGACCTGTGGTGTGGTGGTGGGGTCCCTAGCCAGTAGACCACCGATTGGGGGAAGAGATAGGGATTTGGCTTCCAGGGCTGCCATGGTATCTGGCTCCAGGTCATCACTTTGTTGTTGTGCAGTATATAGCCTGAGCATCTGGCCATGGCTGTGCCAGCTGTGTCAGAAGCAGAAGGGAAGAAGTTCAAGGACTTTCCCATAGCCAGGAGAATTCAGGTACAAGAGGAAAACGTAACCAGGTCCCAGAAAGGATAGAATACATCTGTAGAAGGTAGATGCAAATGGGTTACTACCAGTTTCCAAACTGAGAGGATTTTGGTCACACAGATTAAGAATCCTTATAGTAGCCAAGTGTGTTGGCACCTGCCTGTAATCCCAGCACTCGGGAGGCTGGGGTAGGAGGGGACTGGACTACATAGTGAGTTCAAGGCCAGCCTGACTCACAAAGTGAGACCCTGTCTCAAAAAACAGAAACAAAACCCAAAATGAACAAATCCCCAAAGAATCCTTACAGTGCCTCTTCCCACCCCCATCTAGTCTTGAGGGCAGGGAAGGAGGCCCTTGGTCTTATCCTGTGGACAGAGGAGGAGGGAAGCCTAACTTGGGGGTAACGGCCAGCAATAGAGAGATGGGAGACAGGGGTAGAGGAGGCCTCAGGATTCTATTTATGAAAGAAATGATAATTCACAGTACAGAGCTACTTGTGGGGTAGAGGAAGCCAGTGATTAAGTTGAGACCATGAAGGCTGGATTTTCCTAGAAAAAGGGTCTTTAAAGGCTGGCAGAATTTGGACAGAAAGGTGACAAAGGGCAGGCTTCCAGGTGGAGAAAATGGCTTGAACGAGGGCAGGGAGTTTGGAAGTTGACGTGTAAGTATGGCAGGAAGTACCCCCAATGAAGAAACCTGCAGGGGGTTGGTGTGGCAGGTTCCTCCAGGGAGCACAGGGCAAAATGGAGCTCCAAAGAGTGCTGAGGACGGCATTGACAGTATGAAACTTAGGTGTTTCAACACCTGCCTCTGGCTGCTTCATGAGCCTCTTGGAGGCTGGAGAGGGGCCAGCCTGGCCCAGCTGCCTGTGTTGGGAGGGTTTGTTCTGGTTCCTGCCAGTGCCTCTCCCTTCCCTTCCTCTGTACTGCCCTGGAGCACTCCCTCTGTGCCCCAGGAGGCTGCAGGGGTGTCTGTGGACCTAGGACCCTGCACATGAGAGGCCCCACATCTCCAGGCTGGGTAGGAACTGAGAGATCAGCCAGAAGAGTTTGGGAAACTGTAGGGAGGGGGAAGGAATGTTTGAAGAGACCTAGCTGCAGCCACAGAGCCCAGCCTTCCAGGCTGGAGGAACCAGTTTACTCCTAGGTGCTGGCCTCTGATCCAAGGGGTGGGGCTGGCGGGTGCAGTGCATCAGACCTACTCATTTGAGTCAGTAGCATCAGGGTGATACCTTATTCTTGTGTTCTAAACCCTCGTTAATTGGGACAGTGAGGCCTGAGGAAGGCTGGGGTTGCCCAAGGTCACAGAAAATGATGGCAGAACTGAGCCTGGAACCTGGGATTCCTGCATCATTGGACTTTGCTGAGTTGATTTCCTTTATTGCCCTTCCTGGAAGAAGCATATGCCTTTATGCCACTCCAAAGCCAGAACTCCTCCACCGTGACCTTGTTCTGTGGCACCCAGGGGCAGGGACCAGGGGCCAGATTGCTCAGTGGTGGAAACAACTGAAAGCTTGGGAAAGAGAACAGGCTGGGGTTTTCTGGACTCTGGGAAATTCCCACTCCTAGAACACCAGGACAGCCTTCCTGTTTACCTTGGAAACAGCATCACCTTCTGCAAGGAGACTGTACTTACCTTCTCAGGTCCCAGGTAGGTAGCCAGTGTCCAGATTCCTGGATTTCCTAAAACTCCACCTCCAGGAAGCCTTCCTAGACATTCCTGCTGTTGGGAACATGGAGCTTGGGGAGTTCTCATATTCTGAAGCTAAAGCTCTGGTCCCTGTGGAATTACCTGTCATAGCTGCAGAGCCAGCAGGTCTCAGCAGGCCCCAGCAGGAGACCCTTTGCAGCCCTTAGTCCTGACTATGGCACCATTGAATGAGCAAGGACAGTGCTGCCCAGATACAGGGTCCACTTCCCGCATGTTACCTTGGGCCTGGACCACCTTAACCCCATTAGACACCCCTGGGACTTGACCTATGTGTGGCAGTCCAGCAGTGGGACGCAGAAGGTGAAGATGTGGCTAAATGCTTCTCCTCTGCCCTTGCTGGGGGTGTGTCTGGGTGAGATGGGCCAGACAGGTGGGCTTTCCTCATATCCATTGAAACATACTGTTATAGTTCATAGATGGAAGAGGCTTGAAGATCTTTCAGTTTGCCTGGGAGATGAGGTCAGAAAGGCAAAAGGTTCTTTTCTGAGGTCAAGGACAGACAATGTGGATGCTCAGAGACCAGTGCAGCTTTGGGGATGGGAGCTTCTTGGTAGTATAGCTATTAGGAATTCTCTGATTCCAGGCTTGTGGGAGGGAGGACAGGGTCAGAAATTGCATCCTGGGGACAATCTTGGTGCTGTCCTATTACAGCCCTCAACATATTTTCCTGTCCAATATCTTGACAGCATCTCTTTGAGGTAGTGCCAATGTTTTCCCCATTTTATGGATGATGAAATTGAGTGGTGTCTTGCTCTAGAATCAAACATAAAATTGGAGGCAGAGCTAGAGTTAGCACTTAGGTCTCTTCCACTCTTGCATTTAATATTTTTAGGAGTTAAATTGTCTAACAAAGCAGAGACCTGTCTCCGGGCCCCGGTTGACCTTGAACTATCCCCTCTGGGCCTCGGTTTTTTCATCCTTGGAAGGGAAAGAGGAAGAAGAGTTGGGATGTTAGGATGAGCTTTAAGTACTTTGAAGTTCTCAGCATGCTTTTCTCTCCTGGCCTCTCACTGCGGCCTTCACTGCCCTGGGAGGGGCTTTAACCTCACATGGAGGGGGAGCTGAGGACTTAGGCATGGACAGCACTTCCCCCCTGGGGGTCCTGAGCCCCAGCCTATCCCCAGACCTGCAGCTAGGAGCCTTTTGGAAGAGGGTGGTGCCAAGGGCCCCCAAGGGCAGGGATGGAGGTGGGAAGGGGGAGCAGAGAATGCATAACAAATGAGTTTAGAAATCAAATGAGATCTGAGTTCCCCACCCACTCCCTCAAATCTCTCTACTCTCTTCTCTCTTAAAATTCTCGTTTTCTAAAGAGAAAAGAAAATGCTAAATTGCACCCCCTTTCGAAAAGGATTAGGAGCCTAGTGAGTCACTCCGGAGGTAAATGCCACCTCCAGGGTCCCACGTGTGCCTGTGGAGGCCTGCACAGCTGTGTGGCCACCAGCCCCCGTGGACTATGTGTGAGGGGAGGGTGGACAAGGCCCCTTGTTCCTCCTGCTCGCTTTGGCTCTGGAAGGGAGCTGGGTCCCAGCAGGCGGACCAGGCAAGCCAGCCTGCTTCCTCTGGACTCCCCCTGAGCTGCCTTTGTGAGACTAGCGTGTGGATGGGGCTGGGCTGAGACTAGTGTGGTAGGCTATTTGACCAAGGCTCAGTTTGAGGCTGGGAAGGGTGCAGGGTATGGCATGACTGGGCTCTGTGGCTGTAACTGGGCAGTGTGGGTGCTTTCAAGGCTCTGGGTGGGTTCGAGAGCTAGGTTTGGCCAGCTGATGTGAGTTTGTCTGCTTTTGGAAACCTGGGTTCTGGGTGTCCAGCTGTCCATTCTAGGTGTGCTGTCAAGGCCTTGTTCCAGGGCTAGAAACCAGGAGCTTGGAGGGGATGGCTTGCCTGGGGAAGGAGCCTGGGTGAGGGGAGCACCTGGTCTCTCTCGGAGAGGGTAGAGATGATCTGGGGCAGGGGAGGCCAGCGAGGAAGTGTTTCACTTCCCAGACGACCCATTATTCTGGAGGGAGGGGAAATAGACGTGTGTTAGCCGGGGATGCCAAACAAGGGTTGAAAGCAAAAATAGAAACACATTGGGCTCTGTCTGGGAGGGGCACTGAGTTCTGGTGGATCTGAGAGGCCTCTTTTGAGCCGTCTGCTGCTGATGCCGTGTTTGCTCGGCTCTGGGTATTTGCAGAGCACGTCACATCCTGCACTCCTGCCCTCCTTGGGGAGAGACTTAGGTGTGCAGGATTTGTGACCATAAGCACCCACGAGGGGACAGCTGAAAGGCTTGAACTTGTTCTAGGAGTCTTTCAGAGATTCTGAGCCTCTGTGGCCACCCCTCACGCATACACCATTGACCCTTTTTGGATTGTTCTGGATTGGTCCACATCCGCACTCACCTTGATCAGAACTCCTTCTGGCCCCGCCATGGCCATGGTGGTTCCCACTTCCTGTCCTCATGAAGCTGGTCCCTCCTGAGAAGCTCTGGAATCATCCCTGGTGGCAAAAAGAGCTATTTTGAGCCTTCCCCATTATGGCCTGGTGGGGAGGAGTGTGTTTATTCCTTGTTGCTTTTTGTTTCCTTCTTATGTGGTATAATCTGGGGCACTGAGGGGAACATTATCTAGCCTTGCCTTCCAGGGCCCACTAGCAATTCCTTGGTTATTTTAGCACCAAATGGAGGGGTCCAGGGGCAGAGGCAACCTTGGGCCCTATCCTTCCAATCCTCGAGTGTCATGTGGCACAAATTGCCAATGCGGGATCACATTGACCAGTGGAGGGGTTGGATTTACAGAGGTGGGTGGTGGTGGGCTTCTCCCCTTCTATTTGCTTTAGGCTGGTGGTGGCTTTTGAAGCCCTTCCGAAAGAGCTGGCTGTCACTGTTGTGGTCTCTGCATCCTGCAAGGAGTCTGTGATCCTACTCTGGCCTCCCCATTGGGGCTGGTTTGGGGCTTGGATCTTGAGCCTCTGTTCTCAGCTCCCTGCAAAGGGGTCCTGGCACTTTCAGATGGCGTGCCTTTCTCTGTCCTGTCCTGGTTTCTGGGATGCTCCATGTCCACTCTGTCTCCCTGGCTGCCCTCTGGATGAGCCTGCAGGTGGCAGAGCCTGCCAGTGGCACAGTGGCAGGTGCTATGGGGAACTCCCTTTGAGGGGAGGATAGAGCCTCCTCCTTATGGAACAAGAGTCTGTCGAGACATGGGGGACATCTGGGCCTTGGGAGAATTGTTCCAAAGAATTCAGAACTGTTGGGAGCCTAGTTGGCAGAGTAAATGAAAGTACAATAGATAGCCAAAGCTATTAATCACTAATTATCTTCTAAATAAGGTAATTAATGGATATTTAAATGGCATATTTATAAGATACCCGCAGGTCTTCAAAAAGCACATCTTCCCCAAAGCAACTGGTTTGGCTACCTGGGCCCTGTTTGGAGACCTGAGTTCTATCTCCTAAAATGCTGGATGTACCAGATGAGCTGTGCCACACCCCTACCCACTCCTACCCTCCACCAGTGAAGCAGGGCCAGTGACAGTAGGTGCAGTGACAGGCTGTTTCCTTCTCTGAGCTTCAGTTTTCTTCTCTGCAAACAGGGATCATGAGCTGACTTCCTTGGGCTACTGTGAAGCTGATAGGAAGTGGAGGTCATGGGTGTCTTGCAATAGTCTCAAATGTTGTATGGAATTTAGAGCATTCATTGTGAACATATCCTTAACGTTATTTGATGTCACCCCATTGACTGTGCTGGGTACCACCTATGGCTAGGGGAGAGTCCTGACTTACTGCTTTGTTTGTGACTAGGTCAAGGCTTAGTTTGTAACTGGGATTGTGGTCAAATGTGTGGCTTGGTTTGAAACTGAGGCTGTGGCACTTCTGGCAGAGATCCCGGGTTGGTCTGTGGCCAGGGTTGTGGGTCCATCCATGGTTGGGCTGAAGATTCAGGAAATAGTTGAGGTCCAGGTTTGGGCCATGACTCTTCTCTAGGACTTGAGTTGCTGTCAGGATGATTGTGCGGTCTGAAGCCTCTGCCTCAGCCCTTGAGCGTTATGCATGTACTCACAGAACTGCCTCATTGCCCCTGGAAGCTGATTTCTCCTTGGATCCTCCAGGTTGTCAGCTTCAGAGACTGGGAGCCACGAGAGACAGGTCTTCCAGGGCTCCTGGCCATCCCCTGAAATAGCCCCCACACAGCTCAAGAGTGGCACATCTAGCATTTTAGGAGATAGTTAGGACTGTTTCTATAGCAACCAACCCCCAACTGGCACTAGTTTCCTTCAATAATGCCTTTTTCTGGAAGTAGCTTCTCCTGGCCTCTCATCTCTCATTGGGTGGCTCCATAGCCCCTTCAAGGCTAGGTATGGGCTGGCTGGCTCTAGACTGTCCTGGTCCCCAAGCATCTGACCCAGAGAGAGGTCCTGAGGACATGCCCATGGGATGCTCCCCTGAGAGGGGCCCTTCTGAGTTCTGCCTTGGGCTAGACCATGCTGAGTCTAACAAGAGCTTTCTCTACCCAGCCCTGAGCTAGGAAAGTTTATGATCTCATAGAAGATTCTTATAGGGTGTGTCTGCCCAGGCTGGTGGTAGGGTGGGAGGACAGCCCAGTGGAGAAAGCAGATATGGACCTAGTGCAAATAGGGGTTCTGATGGATTCAAACTTTGGACATGGTGGGAACCCAGAAGAGGCTGGCCTCAGCCCAACCTCGGGGGCAAGGAGGGGTTCTGGCTGATTCTTCCGGCAGGAATGGGAAGAGAATAGGGTTGAGATGGGAGTGGAGGACAGGAGCAAAGGCCTGGAGGGAATATGGGAAGTTGTGGAAAGCTTCCTAGTGGCAGTGTGTGGTGGGACCAGGGGCTGGGGTGAGAGCAGGTCCTGGCTTAGGTAACTTTAGCTTTGGGGGACAGATATGATAACCTCTAGAGCTATGACAGAAGGGAGGACAGAGGGATCAGTCCCATGAGAGTGGGCAGGAAAGAGGAGGGGCTCCCATTTTAGGGGTCTGGGGAGAAGCCTCAGAAATTTCCACATAGAAAAGAAGCAAAAGAAAAGCCCTCAGATAATCATGATGTGGTATTTTATTTAATAAACCCTTCTATAGCACTGATAGGGTATGAGACACTATACTAAACCTTTTTCATATATTCATTCATTTAAACCTCATTGCTACCCAATGCAAGTATAATCGTCACCCCATTTTACAGATGGGTAAACTGAGGCACAGAGCAGTTTAGTGTCATTTCCTAAGACCACTAATTGGAAAGCATAAAAGCTGAGATTGGAGCCAAACCAGTGGGAGTGGGACAGTGGAGGGAGTTGAGGGAGGGGACATTGGTCTCAGGGGAAGACAAGGTGGTGGGAGGAGGTGGGCCTCCAGAGTGGCTGGGCTGTCTACAGGCCCTACCCGGACTCTGCAGAGGGCCACACTCTGCATTCTGCCTCTGGACTTCTGGGGCTGCAAGGCAGGAGTGAGGAGCAGAGAAGTGTGATTCTACACGTGCTTGTGTGTGGCCGTGTGAAGGCTTCAGTCTCTGTGTGTGCATGGGGCTCTTACTACCCATTGGGAGCAGGGGCCTGAGCATTTTGATCATGCTGAGGGTCAGGAGTTAGACCCAGGTATGTGCTTGTTAAACCTGCCATCCTCATGCACACATAGATGCCTCTGTGTGTGCATGCATGTATGAAAAGGAGGGAAGGAGGAGGGAGGGAGGGAAAGGGGGGGAGGAAGGGGGGGAGGAGAGAGAGAGAGAGAGAGAGAGAGAGAGAGAGAGAGAATATCCAATGAGCCAGTAGCCCCAGCGAAGCTGCACACTTACCTGCCTCTCAGGCTTTCTCTTTCTCTGAGGTGCAGATTGTGCTGAGCATCTGGCACCACCAGGACAGGTTTAAGACACAGCCTCAGGCAAGGCTGGGCCCTGAGCTGGCCACAGTCACCAGCCAACAGGTCAGCAGGTGTGAGTGCCAGCACAGTGTTGTACACCCCCTGGCCACCCTCAGGGTGCTTGCTCCTCCCCGGAGGTCTGGGAATTGTGTGTGTGTTTGAAATTCCCACAGTCATGGCTCTCAGCAGATGTCCTGCCGTACTAGGTTCCTTACTCTTGTGGAGAAAGTTCCAGATCCAGCTTCCTGGAAATGGCTCCATTTCTGTGGCCCAGGTCTCTCCCTCCCTCCCACTCTGCCTCAGCTTGTGCAACTCTGCCCAGCTTTTCCTTTGAAGATGAGCTTGGGTCCCCTTCTCCCAAGAAGGCCTCCAGCTGCAAGATCCCCACCTCTGGGCAGTATGGCTGACACATGCTGAGACCCTGGCTGGAAAGAGTGGCAAGTGTGGGATTTGGCACAAGGACCCCTCTGCCTGCTCCTCTGTTTTCCTGTGCTCTGTGCAGGACGAAGTTCAAGGCTGATGCTCCTAAGGGCAGGGCCTATTCCAGCTTATCTCTGTCCCCCACTTCTTCCTCCCAGGCACCATCTGGTCTGAAATCTGGCCCTGGAAGCACCGGCCAAAGCCTTTATTTCTCATTGTGCTGAGCCAGGGCTTTCCTTGTGGTGAAATGTCTTCCCTTTCTGACAGGGCTTCTGAGCACAGAGTGGTGTCCCCCTTTAGGTGGGCATTTTACCCTTAGGCTGGGGCTGCCCTGGGTAGGGCAGAGACTCACAGAAGCCTCCCGACTGTGTGCCTGCCCATCTGCCTATTCATGTGTCACTGGGAGCCAGGGCCGAGATGGGGAAGGTGGACAGATGGAGACAACAATCTGAGCTGCAATCTCTGGCCACACCCATGCTGGGGAGATGCAGGACTGGGGCAAAGCCTGTGGCACCACATTGGCCCAAAGATGGTAGGTAGACTGGCAAGGAAAGAGGTTGGAGTCACTCCCAGAACCCAGTCCCTGCAGGGCTCAGTATGGATCTGTGCTGGCCGGCATAGGCAGGGAGTGCAGGATCGCTTGCTTTGCTCTGGAAAGTGTGAGGATGCTCCCTTCTCTTTGATACTGGTTCAGGGTTTTTAAATCAATGTGGTCTTCAGGAAGAAGTAGGCAGAGCCTAGGAGGACACAGAAGGGGCCTTGGACAGGGCCCTGGCAGCTGTTGGAAGCCCTCAGGTGGTCTTATCCAGCCTCAAGCCTTGGTTCTATAGCTGACAAGAGCCACCATCTCCCGAGGGCCAGGCAGTGGGATGGACACTTTGGCGGCCGGTCTTGGTCAAACCTTGGTTAAATCAAACAGTGAGGCAAGGATCATGATACCTGTTTTGCAGATAAGAAAATGGAGGCTCAGAGGAGAGAACTTGCTTTGGGTTATTACAGTAAGGGGTAGACTTGAATCTAGGCTTGAGTCTCTCCAATGCTCTGACCTGGATGTTGAATTCTCATCCACAGCTGGGAGCTGATTTACATGTGACTTAGGAGCAGTCTTTGGAAGGGGTGAGTGGCAGGTGGGAAGCTTATACTCCCCAAGAATACACACCCATACATAGCCATGTGTATCCAGTGACAGATGCCTGTGTGATACTAGACACCGCTACACAGGATGTTTTCACAGCATAAAGATACCTAGACACTACTTTCTAGACCTAATAGGCAGATGGTTCTAGAACTCAGAGCTCTCAGCTGAGCCCGCAGGACCAGGGACCCTGTAAGGAGCCAGGGGCAGACTTCTGAGCCCTTGTCCAGCTGCCCAGCGGCAGGTGGGTTGGTTGTCATTGGCCGAAAGAGCAGGTGGCCAAGAGAGAAAGAATGGCGATCCCTTGTCCTGAGCTCTTCTGAGCACAGACACTAGATCCAGAAGGGTCGGTGCTCACTTTCTGCCTCTGTCATTTATTAGCTTTGAATCCTTGAGAAAATGCCTTCACATCTCGGAGCCTGTTTCCCTTGCTGTAAGGTGGACTTGTTATGCCTGCTCTGCTGAGCTTGGTTAGAATGATTTTCAGTGAGATTGGTGAAGCAGCCAATAGACTGTCTGCTAGCTCTCTGTGCATACTCAGCAGGCCCTGGTTATTCACTTGCTTGTTTGTCAAACACTCTTTGGCCATCTTCCATGCGGGATCATGTATTGGACCCAGAAAATACAGAGAAGTATAGGGTGGGGACCCACTGCAAGGGGACCTTGCTCTAGATCCCACCCTCATTGTTTGGTGGAAAATCAGTACATTGGAGGAAGAGGAGGAGGGAGCATCTTCCATCCAGAAGCTACATGAAGGCTGCTTCTTGACACACCCATTTTTATAGGTTCTTCTTTCTGTAAGAATGTGCAACTCCCCCCACCCTCCCGGGGTTGTTTTGAGTAGTCCCTGAATAAGGGCAGGGATGACCTAGGATCCCTTTGAAGCAAATTGAAGAGTACACGTTTAAAAACCCACGTAGGCATGATGTTTAAAAGCAAGGAGAATAACAGCAAACAAGGTAAAACATGCATTTGGGAAGATATTCAGATACTTATTTTGACCACAAAGGAAAGTCATAGCGACAAGGAGGATTTATCCGAGAGAAGTGTCAGCTATGAATTGGAGGTGAAAGGCAGACATCACGTTGGTCCAACATTTATAAGTAGAATGGGTGACCAAGTGCTTTTGATGAGTGTGGCTGAGTTTCCTCATCACTTTTCCTCTGTGGACACGAAATCCATACATGCGTGCCTGTTCAGTCTTTTAGCTGTAATGGCGTTGTCAGAGACATTTGTGGAAGGAGGAGGTGGCAGAGGTGGGAAGGGAGAGGTCTGAGTTCTCCCTAGCACTTGCCGCTGTGGAAATGATCTTGGTTGTGTGCAGGACATGTGATTTGCCAACTATGGCCAATAGAAAGTGAGCAGAGGTGTGTCATTTCTGGGCAGAAGCATTTAATACTGGATGTGATTTTCCATGCTCTTCTCCCTTACTTCAGTGGACCTTGAAGTCTTATGTTGAGAGGGTAACATCTTATGGTGATGGCCCCTTTGCATGACCAAGGTGAACAGAGCCCCCCTTCTTTCTGGTGTGTAAGAATTGTTACCTTAAACAGCTGAGATAATTTGATACCACAGCTCAGCTGGTGCTGACTGCTACCCTTTATCACCTTGGCTAAGTCTCTTAGCCAGTGATGGGGAAACTTAGAGCTTTCACTGGTAACAAATAGCCTGCTGGACACACTCACTCCTGCCCCATGGAATTTCCCCAGACAGAGTTTTGGGAACTGAACTGAAAGCATAAAAGTGGGAGCACTTGGTGAAGTCTGAGGCCGCAGCGGCAGAAGGCATAGACATGCAGGACGGGATTGACCCTGAGTCCAAGAGTGTCTGAGGCAGACTCTTTCATACTGGGACACTGTTACAGGCTTGACTAACAAGTGTGTTCACTTTGACAGGTGGCCCTTCCCCGGGCGGCGGTGCCCCGTGGCACCTTCGAAATGTCCTTAGCGATTCAGTGGAGAGCTCAGATGATGAATTCTTTGATGCTAGAGGTAAGTCAATGCTGTCCTCACACCTAGTGGGATCATCTCCCTAGAAGCCTAAGAAGAGGATTTGTGGTGGGAATTAG